GTCGTAAAAAGGGAATTAAAATGAATGGAAGCCCCATGAGGTACAATACATGTGTGAGGAGTGCTGTGTGCTGCTGGACACGAGAGAATGCTGGATATAAATCGCATACGCGTCTGCCAGAAGACTCCGGCGTTGCACACACAAGTTCATTTAAGTCCTTAGTGAAATAACTCTTAAAAATAAACTAAACTGAATTAAATTCGTCTAAACTAATACTCGTATAATAATATGAAGCATACAAAACGTTTTGTCAAAGTCTGTCGCAAGGCAGCCCTTAAAATGATGCAAACTCAACTGAAATCGAAGAGACTCGGCAATGTTTAGTGTAGCTCCACCGTGCTGAGTTTATCGAAATCGATCAGACTGCTTGGATACTGTTACGTGCGGAGGACGCTGCAGAAGTCGGTGGATAGTTAGCGACTCGTTTTTGTTTTTACTTCTCGCAGGCGGAGAAAGCTGGTTTTCATTAAGTACAGTTTGAAGGTCAGTCGCAACACCTGCCTCAAGTTGTACCAACATGGTCGCTGTGTAAACTGAGACGGAGACCTCGTACATTTGAGGACTTGTTTTAAGTGTTGTGTTGTAGATGATCACGGCCACAAGTCAGGGGGAAGGGGAGGGGGAGCCAACCATCTGCACCTTCCCCCATCCGGAAGGCTGCTAGATATTCGAAAGTTTTGTTACACTAAGGTAATTTCTTGTGGTAAAAATGAGACAACGGTTGTGTGACGGTGAGAACTGTTGGAGACTTAGTTACATTCCTTGTGAGAATTAGTGACTGTGACTGTACTTGCACAGTTCGAATGGACATTGTATATCAGCACTGAAAAGTACGGACAGTAAAAATGTTCGCTAACTCTTGCTTGTTCAAAAAGAAAGAAGGGAATTTTCAAATATGAATTCAGAGTTATTTGTTTTTGAACCTCCCAGATAGCCCATTTGGCTGCCTCATGCTGGGTCTGATTCTCTATGGATGAAATTCGCGTTACTGATCTGTAGGGAAGATGGTTCATTGTGTTCGTTCGCAACGAGAAGTTCAAATCGTATGTAAATCTTTGCATTTCAGTCTGTCGATTGCATTTTTTTTTGTTCATTTAATGACGCCCTCGGTAGCCCTCAGCGCCGAATGGTAGGATGGTAAAGGAAAATCTATCCCTGTAACAGTCCGTGGAGTGAAGCTGCAGTCCGCTCATATCTCCATTGGTTGCATCCTGTTGTGTGTTCCAGATATAAAGTTAAAGCAAAGGTAACCCTGTAACAGGCTGTGGAGGTCCATAGGTTTGAGAGACGTTCAGGTTCCCACATTTTGTGGACAATCGGCTCATAGATGGCGGTGAGGTTGTCAGCCTTATGCGCCGGCTGCCCTTTACCTTCCAGGAAGATTCCTGGTACTAATTTCTGTTAGAGGCTGAGTCGACTCCAGGGCCATGGTGCAGCTGGAAGGATTAGGTCAATTGAACAAATCCAATGGCTTCATCGGGAATCTAATCCGTGGTAATGGCATAATCTGGCTCACTATCTCTCCATTTGCCTAGGGAGACTGGAGAGAGCCATGCAAAACCTCAGTCAGGACGCTCGGAGTCCCAATCGAGATTTGAACCTGGTACCGCTCGAGTAGAAATCGGAAATCGTGCCGCTTGAGCCAACTGTTCATTGTCGGCAGATCTGATTTGAGTGCACGTTGTTACTGAGAAGGTTCCACGTCCTCGCGGCGACTGATACACCACAGGGAGATGGCGCAGCGCTTGTACTTCCGGTTATCTCGATTTCCTTGCGACCAAATCCGCGGTGCGAAACCCAGATTCACGGCACGCAATACAAATTTTCGTTACATCGCTGGATTACGCAATTATTTTTGTAATCCATTGTGTTCTTGAAAGTGGAGCAGATATTACGTGCTGTCGCACAGGAACTTTCACCCACTGATGGCACTTTCACCGATGACTCAAGAACTTCCGCCTTCTCTAGAGAGGGCGGAGTATAGCACCAATTCATGTCGCGCTTTTTAAGAAACAAGAAATAGCCTGATATGTGCGATAATGGAACAGGGGATTATCATGGACTGCGTATTTACGTCATTTCAAGTTAGTGACTAGAGTTGCGTGCCTGGCTGACGTCTGGAATTGTGACAGAGGTTAAAATAGGCTACGGTCGCTTCCTGCCGTCATACGATGTCACAGTTGATGGTACATAGCCTGATCCTGAAACAAGAGCGCAGGAAGAAGACACTGGTTTGCACTTCCGGACTGGTCTCTGCGTCCGCTTGAACACGAAACGTCCAAACAAACACGTGCATTCGGATTTAAAACTGTATTCCTGGTGTTTCCCTCCCGAGAGTTTACTGAAATTTGTAGTTTTCAAATGTTGCCCTTGAGTTTATTATAAAGCTACTACTGTATATTTAATGAAACTGGCGATGTGCGTCATGCCACTGAAGGTTGCCCCATCATTACAATTGTGAGCGACACATTCGGTGAGTGTGGTCCAGATATCGCAATCGAAGGGCGAGGAACACATGTGCCACCTGCATCTTTGTGTTCGTATGAAGAACACTCGCCAGTAGTGCTGTGGTATTGGAGCTCTGGTTACATATCTGGAAGCGTCTTCAAAACAGTCGCAATTGATCTCAAAGAAAGCATTCAACTTGCTTCCTGTTTCTGTTTAAGCAACTACTCATGGCTGCTGCATTAGACTCATGTGGTTTCTTTTAAACAGAAACTTCTTATTCTATCGTACATAGGTATACATGCGGCGTATGGCATGACGCCTGAAAGCAGGAATAGTGCGGATTCGGTCATTTCTGGGCAACGACTCGGTAGTTAAGGCATCGAACTCGTGCCTTTATACGCGCTGCGACTGACTGCTAACCAAGGTCGTAAGTCGGTCGACCATGTAAAGCACTACTGGACCTCACCGGCACAGTAGAGTTCTGAAGGCTCACATAGCCGTCAGACAGTATAATCTAGTGATGAGCCCCGTGGCATTCGGAACCAAGAACCACTGCGCTGACAGGACCAGCAGCAATTTAGCAAACAGGCAGCACATTCATTCTTGATTCCGAGTCCCACGGACCTCACGACCATATTTTTCTGACAACTCTGGGAGCCTCCAGACCACTGACTAAATCTAAAGTTTGTATATCTGTATGCATATCCTCCTATCGTTGCTAAGCAACGGCTCAGTAAACACGCTCCCGCTGCAAAGAATATACACGCAATAGAATAAATGTTGCAAGCCCATGCGGACCGTGTTGTATCACAGGAAAGTAGGTGATTAGCTCTTTCAGAACATATTAAGATGGATCTTAGAGAGGTAGGATGGGGTTATATGGACTGGATTGATCTGGTTTAGGATAGGGACTAATGGAGGGCTCTTGTGAATACGGTAATGAACCTTCGGGTTCCATATAATGCTGGGAAGTTCTTGAATAGCTGAACGACCGGCGGCATCTCAAGAAGGGCTCAGCTCCATTAAGTTAGTGTGCGGCGTGCGGCAATTGGTTGGATGGAAACCTGCACCGCAACAGGGATAATGGGGCAGTATGGCCAGCTGTTCCTCATCATTACAGAAGTGGAGATTCGCCAGATTTCCCGTAAATAATCTCAAAATGGCCAGTGCGGAAGGCACCAATTGGTAAGGCAACCCACTATCTTCTGGACAGGGTCCATGATAGTCCGGGCTTGATCCCAGAGTCATAGCCTAAGCTGCCATGAGCAGTCTTAGAGTGGATCACGGCAATGCAAAGTCGAAGAATCACCCTCCCACAAACTGCCATAGAAAAATGGTAAAATAATTGTTTAACGAAAATGGGGGCCCCACAAAAGTTTGCTGCCAAGAAACGTGACAGTTGGAGCAAACAGCACGCAGTTGTGCATGGCAAGACACATTGAGACCAGGCGCCTAGGGACATCTTTTTTTTTTAATATGAATAATCGCAGGTCACGTTTCCACGAAGAGGTGAAAACTCAGAATAATATTCAAGACTCAAATAAGTAATTGCTAGACCGCCTATGCCCTGTCAATGTTCAGTACGTTTCAAGATACAGAACATTCATCAAATATAATTGGTAGATAATTTTATAATCTTCAATCGTATAGAAACTTCATGTGTCTGAATACAATTGTTCATCACTCACGACAAAATCTTACAAGTTCGCACCGTCTTCATGTTAGGACGTTTCCAATCGCACTGTTCCTAGTACAATACGAGCGCAAGAATTGAATTTTGTCACCAGTTATTTTCATAAAATAAAAAATAAGAGAAGGAAATGTCGCTCGATTGCCATATTGATGTTTTCCGTTTAGAGAGAAAATGGCGACAAAGAAGTTTGAATAGTCTCTACAGACACAGTTTGTTCCTTCATAAAACTGCGGCCAGCTCAGCGACTTCCTATTCAGAATGGCCTCAAACAAGGAGATGCATTATTACCTTTACTATTCGACTTCGCTTCGTGACATACCAATAGGAAGGTTAACATAACACACGAGAGGGACTAGAACCGAAAGGAACACATCAGCTTCTGAGGTTTGCTTTGGTGTTGCTTCCTTGGAGAGGGACGCAGAAGCTCTGTGAGTGCTAGACTGGATCAGTCTACAATTGGACGCAGTAAAGGCCTGCCTATGTTCACTTCTAGTTAATAGTGAGGGCACTGGGCAGTATCGCAATACAAATGTGAAAAGGTTGAAATGTTTGACGACAGTAAAGTAAAAAAAAAAAAAATAATAAAATAAAGCTATCCCTGTAACAAGCCGTGAAGGCCAATAGTGTTCTGAGACGTTGAGGGTCCCATATTATCTAGACAATCGGCTTAAAGATGGCGGTAAGGTTGTTAGCCTTAATTATTTAATTAATTCCTGTCAGAGGCTCAGTCGACCCCAGGGCCATAGCGCGACCGGAAGAATTAGGTCAATTAAAAAAATCGAATGACCTCATCAGGACTTGAACCCGCGACCTACCAGCTTGTAGCATAGTGCAGCAACCAACTACGCTACCGCGTGCGTTTTTTTTTTGTGGACAAAAGGTCTCTGCAAAAGATATTTATCCGTGAAGAAATGTTTCCTGTTCACGGTGGGAAGTGTTTGTCGCGTAAAGCTGTTCCACCTTAGTGGCAAACGTTTTGCTGTTGACGAAGAGGTGCGGAAATGGATGAGACAACAACCAAAAGACTTCTTCGCTGCGGGTTTCGATGCACTGGTAAAGCGATGGGACAAGTGTTTCAGTGTCGGTGGAGGATATGTCGAGAAATATATACTTTTCCCGTGTTCAAATATCACATGTTCTATGTTTTATATCTGTCTGTGATCTATCTACTGACTCTCCCGTGTATGTATGTGATCCGCAGTAGGCCTATATGTAGATAAGTAGAAATGAAGAATGCTCATCTGTCGTGCCTTAATCACAAGGTGCATGTTGGCGCACATGTGCAACACTGTACAAGCAATGGCTATATATGGCAGAAATTAGCAACTTAACGGTCTGCAGTTGTTGGGCTGGTGAGCAGCTGACAGAATATGTTAAATGGGAAACCTCAAAATGATAGTCGAGAAATCTAGGCATCCAGATGGCGGTGGGAAGATGTTATTTAAATAAATTGTGAAGAGAATAGGGGTGAAGATGTAAATTGGATTCTACTGGCCCATGACAGGCTCCTGTGAACACGGTAATGAATATATAAATTCCGAAAAGGGAGGGTATGTTGAGCGGCCATCAGCTTCTTTAGAAGGTCTGCATTTCGTGGCGTTAGTTTTTAAGAATTAATTCTGTCTATCCGATATTTGTTTTTATTTCACTTCTTAAACATCTGACTTAACTCCATGAAGCTGAGTCCTTCCTGAGAAGCTATCTGTTTCTCGGCTACTCAAGAAACTCCCAGCATTTTGTGGAACCCGAAAATTCATAACCACGCGCCTAGAAACGTCCACCACTGGTTCTTGTCTCGAGTCAGATGAACCCAGCCCTCACACTCACTCCTTACTTCTTATCCTCCTTCCTAGCCTCGGTTTTACTAGTGGTTTCTTTCCTTAAGGCCTTTCTACAAACATTCTGAATGTACATCTCTCCAGTGAGTGCTACATGACCTGTCCATCTCTTCCTCCTTGATTTGATAGTTCTAGTAATAATATTTGACAAGAAATATAAATTATCAAGCTTCTATATGGAACATCCTCTAGTTTCGTATTTCTTCATCCCTTTTAGGTTCAAACATCCCCCCCACTCTGTTCTCAAGCACCCGCAGTCCATGCTTTTTATTCTTGTCAGAGACCAAGTTTCACACTCAGACAAAATTGTAGTTGCATGTTTTAATTTTTCCGTTTTAGACAGCAGACGAGAAAACACGCTTCTGAACTGAACGGTATTAAGCATTACCCGAATATAACCAGCTCTTAATTTCCTCCTGGATCAAATTTTGATTTGATGCTACGGTTCCCAAATAACTGGACTTTACCACACATTTAGCGGATGTAAAAAGTGTCTTTATATTAAGATTTTGTCTTGCATTTGGTGACGATACATCGACATACCATATTCAGCTTTCGCTGCGTTTAGTTACAGACTAATCTCCTTACTAGCGTCTAATAGAACTCCTGCTTTCTCTTCATGGTTGATATTCATGCCCCCTCCCAAATAATTCACTGGCTCAGCATAGATCAGGAGCTGATATGTCCCATTCAATTTCAGTGTCCATAAGGTCTTAGAGTATTAAATTATTGGCCCTGAGACATGTGGTATGGCCAAGATACAATTAGTATGAGCTACAGGGATCACTGATACTGTTTGCAAGAGTCGAAGTGTCCTCCATGGAGTCCTGCTTGGTTCTCGCTGAGCCTACGTCTAGAATCTCAAGTTGAACTTCTGGGTTACCATGGATGTAACGCCGTTCCTCAATGCTCACACAACAGTTACTGTTCACAACGTCACCCCAAGAAGCAGTCAGCGGGAACACGGGTCCTGTGTGAGTGTCTCCTTCAGGCAGTGTTAGGCGTAGGCGGTAGCGTTCAGCTTGCACTGCATCCCCCATCAGCCAGAGCCATATCAGGCGGCGTCCGGTAGTCGCTGCAGTTGCCACTTCAACAAAAAACACGAGATCGCCGTGAGCCGTGAATGACTTCAAGGAAGACTCGGCCACTGGTTTGGAACATGATAACGGAAGACGAACTGTTACTCCAGAGGACGACAACTGAAGGAAATACTCAACGAAAGGGCCTTGATGGACTTCTCGCAGGTGTTGCAGGAGCGGCCGTGGACCGTTTACAATGCTGCAACAGTATGGCTCCGGTTTCGTTGGAAATGGGCAATGAAACAAGAGTCCATTAGCCTCAGCGCAGAATGTCTTTCCTAGAAGTGACTCACTTCCGACTGGAATCTGTCCTGCTGAAAACGAACGTGTTCTCAGAGGAAAGGGTGTTGTCTTTTGTATGTATGAACTGGATATTTGATGACTGATCCGCCTATCCGGTAACTGCTGAGTGCATAATGTAATGTTTTCTTCAGATGAAGCCTTAGTTTTCACCACGACACGAGAAATGTTAAGTTTTGAGTTCCCATCATTAGCTGTGCTTTGACTTGCAGCATTGCCTCTTCCATGAGGTGATATATTTTCTTTTGGTTGTGCATGCTCGCAAGAAGTATCAGGAAGGTCTTGTGTTGAAGGATTCCCATTCGACGTTGCTGCTGTTGGATTTGATTGTTCATCATCTATTCCATGAACGCAGTCTGTTGCTATACGCGACTTGAGGTACAGAGCAGGGTGTTTCTGCGGTTGTTTCGTGTTTGCAGCACACTTTTCTTTGCTTTGGTTCAGCATTGTGGTCAGGAGACTGTGCAGTTTGTCAGCAAGAAGGCATCTTCCTCGTGGACCAAGGCTAACTCGGCACACGGGGCACTTCTCTGCCCTGGTGCGGCAGCTGCCACACAGGACATGCCCATTGCAACACTGAAATGCTGGCGGTGGCACCGTCTCAAGACACACAGGACATTCCAGCAGCTGGAGAGCCGACTGGAGACAGCTTGAGAGACGCTGCAAACTTACTGGCGTCGTTCCGTTTCCGGAGATCTGCAACAGTCAGTAGGAGGCGCTCGTTATATATTTGGGCTTCACAACGTCTGTCGAGTAATGTTATAATTCTCTCTTCACTTTTGAAGCAAGGATATTGGGAACTAATTGCCGTTCTGTAGCAGTTCTTGATAAATGATTGTAATACAGCAGGAAATAGGGGAACCTTTGTCACAAATAACTTGAAGTCCTACAAGGATGTAAAACGTAAAAGTAAAGGTATCCTTGTAACAGGCCGTGGAGGCCCATAGGGTTGTGAGATGTTGAGTTCCCACATTTTCTAGACAATCGGCGCATATATGGCGGAAAGGTTCTCAGCCCTACGCGCTGGCCGCCCTTTACACCCAAGAATATTCTAAGAATATTCCTGGAACTCATTTCTGTTAGAGGCTGAGTGAACCCCAGGGCTATAGTACGGCTGGAAGGAATAGGTCAATTGAAAAAAATTCATTGACCTCATCGGGACCTGAATCAGCGACCTTCCGGCTTGTAGCATAGTGCCTCAGCCAACTACGCCACTGCGCAAGGATGACTGTCGTTAAATGAACATTAGTGCCATTTTCTGCTTGATACAGTCACATCGATTTGAGAATGGGTAATAATAATAAAACAGGTAAAGGTAAAGATAAAACTGTCCCTGTAACAGGCCGTGAAGGCCAATAGGGGTGAGAGGAATCTTCCTGGTACTCATTTCTGTTAGAGGCTGACTCGACCCCAGGGCCATAGTGCGGTTGGAAGGATTAGATCACTTAAAAAATTCAATGACCACATCGGGAATCGAACCCGCGACCTTCCGGCTTGTAGGATAGTGTCTCAACCAACTACGCTACTGTGTGTGCCCCCTAATACAAGTGGCTTCCTTCCTTCTGGCTTTCCCACCAAAAACCTGTATGCATTCCGCCTCTCCTCATTCGTCCTACATACCCTGCCCATTTCATCCTCATTCACTTTGCTATTCTAATTACACTTGGCGAATACTACAAGTTATGAAATTAGGCGCGTCCCTTGTCACTGCGGCATGGCGCGTCCTTAGGTTGCGAACGGAGAAGACGGCCTCCAGTAGCTGCGAAGATATTGAATAAGCAGTCTCGTATAGCCGACAAGGGGTGGTCCTCCAACTTGAGGGTTCGGCATGGGTTTAAGAACTCTTCGCCGTAAAAAAAAATAAGCTTGTTACGAAATGTCATATATCCAACCATATTACAGGTTTTATCTGACACCCGGAAATGCATTCATATCTGATTCAGCGTCTGCAGATCGTCTTTATAGTGTTGCGTCAGAGTTGTGTAAAATAAAGAAAAATAATCACTATACATTGACACAGTAGCTATTTCTGTAAGATATGAAAGATATCCGGCAAGTAAAGATACAATGTCAAGAAAATATTTGTAAAGCTTTTGTTATTCACTTACAACACTTTTACAACACACCTTTATTTACTTTTCAACATAGTCACCATGGATCGCAATGCCCTTGGTGAGCCTGGGAACGAGTTCTTTTATTCCAGCTTCGTAGACATCTCCCTCCTGCGCTCCTATACATGGAGAACAGTTCTTGACACTTCCGGACATTATTGATTAAGTTCATCGATGGTTAAACGTCAGTCACCATGAATGTTTTCATCAGTGATAACGGATGGCCTTCCACTCCTTATTTTATCATGAACATCGCTTCTTTCCGTTTCAAATTCACGACACCATTTTGCCACATTTTGCCTGTTCATAACATCTTCGACGTAAACATAAACAAGATGGCTAAGAATTTCAGCACCAGTGTCTCCTTTCGCGTGAAAATATCGAATTACTGCACGAACCTCACATTTGGCGAGATTCTGAATCGACACGGCCATTTTAAACACACACTGCGAGGACAACATTGCCGTTACTGTGGCCATTGAACTCAGCCCTGTCATACGGTTCCTATCTCACGGCAACACTGCCAGTTCTAAAAAAAATACCTTGCATTTTTTACTGGATTTTTATCTTTACTTTCCAGATATCCCTCGTATATTCAGTTACACATTTGGCTGTATACTACGGAAATAATATTTTGACAGTTGTTAAGCGACAGATTACAGATTTAAATCTTTCGGTTCGTTTTAATATTTTAATTCTGCTACAAATATAGCATGCGATAAAGGGCAGTACACACCATAGTGGCTACATGAACAGGCAGCCGGATAAGTGAGTGTTTCTTGCAGCCACAAGAAACCACAAGCAGGGCCCAGTGGCTCTCTCTCCATGTGCAACTGTATAGGAGATTATCTTATAGCCACAAGAAACATCGAACAGAACCCAATGGTTCTGAACATAGATACAACTGTATAAGGGACTGTGTCTTACAGCCACAAGAAACGATCAGAGCCAAGTGGTTCTTTGCCTGTATGCAACTGCATAAGAGACCGTGCCATACAACCACACGGAACATGGAACAGAACCCAATGGTTTTGTATACGTAGTGTATATGCAACTGTATAAGAGACTGTGTCTTACAACTACACGGAAACATCAAATAGAACCCAGTGGTTCTGCATATACGAGTATAAGCAGCTGTGTAGGAGACGGTATTACAGCCACAGGAAACGAGCAGATCCCAGTGGTTCTGTACATATGTGCAACTGAAGAGACTGTAATCGTATATTACAGCCACACAATGAAACCTGAAAACACCAAGTCTAGTGCTCGGAATGCAGAAGGGACGATAGTGCCCGACGCTTTTCCTTTTTTGTCTCTAATCCGGAAGGTCGCGGTTTCGATTCCCGATGAGATAATTGGAGATTTTAATTGACCGAATTCTTCCAACCGCACTATGACCATGGGGTCGATTAGTCTGTAACAGAAATGAGTACCAGGAATTTTACTGGGGATAAAGTGCGCCCGGCGCGTAAGTTTGACAACCTGACCGTCAACTGTAAGCCGAGTGTCTATTAAATGTGGAACCCTCGACCTCTCACAGCCCTATGGACCTCCACGGACTGTTACAGAGACAATTTTACCCTTTTCTTTCCTCAGTCATATGAAACCGAACATTTAACTGGATTCTGTATTTCAGCATTCTGTGGCAACTGTTCACATTAGCGTCCATTTGTCTATAATCCGTCTAAATTGCAACACTTTTTATTTTACACTTCAATACACTCTCTAACATTACATGTTTCGGCCTCAAACGGCCATCTTCAGTGTTTTTATAGACATTCATGCCGCCCACATGAACACAAACGATCGCGCATAAACTATGTAATAAATCGATTATATACATACCCAATAACGAGAAAAGCAAAATACATAGAAATGAACACAACTCAAAATATATTATACAATAATGAATATGACATAAAATTATCTAGCAATATAGCACCCTCAAGAAGAAACAAAAACAAAACACACAGGAAAACTCACAGCAACAAAAAACAAAGTGAATAGCCTTTACGTATAATTGAAAAGAAGTAAGAAAAATCACAAAACTTTTTCGATACGAAAATATAAGTAGCTTTCCGCACGCAAAACACAATACAAAATATACTAAAACCAAAGCCACAAATGGATAAATATAATAAAAGTGGAATCTATCAAATGAAATGTTTAGATTGCCCATTGAAATATGTTGGACAAACAGGGAGAACATTCAAAACCAGATATAAAGAACACATTCACGACATAAAAAGTAACAATAGTAATTCAGGATATTCAAATCATATATTGAATACCGGACACAGGTACGGCACAATAACAGACACTATGGAAACCATAACAACGGGAAAAAAGGAAAACATCTGAATACACTGGAGAAATACCATATTTACAAAACTAGTAAAGAATATTTACATATGAATGACACAAACATTGAAACACATAACCCTATATTTGAAATAATATACAAAATTATACAAGAAAACATTATACCCCCCCAGTCTCTCCCCACTCCTCACAACCAGAACATATAAATACAGGAACAATTACACCGCATCAGCGCTATTAAAGACAACACGAGACGTTGAGGAGGAAACACAAACCAGGAGAAAGTGAGTACAAAAAGTAAACAAACACAACAACAACAACAACATAATAATAATAATAATAATAATAATAATAATAATAATAATAATAATAATAATAATAATAATTAGAAAATAACATGAATATAGATAGGAATTTATAAATTACAGATAACTAACGTGAGGAACAAGGTTCCAAGGAAAACATCTTATATTTTACGGAAATTACTACACCCTCAGTGAAGCAAAACAATAAGTAACAAATTATAAAAGAGTTTTATCTCATTTTAATTAAAATTAAGATTATAAAATGTGTTTTTTAAAAATGAATTGGAACAGTGAAACAGTTTATCAGTTTTGACACAATTTCGACAGAATCTTAATTGAATATCTGTAAAAAAAAAAACCCGGAAGATGGCCGTTTGAGGCCGAAACATGTAGTGTTAGAGAGTGTACTGAAATGTAAATTTAGACAGATTATAGACAAATGAACGCTAATTTAACTGATAAGCAGATATGCAAATAAGCTATGTTTCATTTCGCAAGTAGAGAAAGCATTGGGATCCCACCTTAGCTGTATAGAATAAAAACAGGCAGATTTAATGCTACAAATGTCGTTATAAGACTTCGATATAGTTAATTAGTGCTCAATTAATTAAGCAACATAACTTCAAAAAATCTTATAATCTTTGATACAAAATTTATGGCGCAGTTTAAATGTAGCGTTTGTGTGTGTTTGTAGGTGTGTGAGTTGTGAAGTTTCCTTGGTACACCCTTTGAAGAAGGTCTTGTGTGACAGAAACATATCGGGGTTTTTGCAGCATGTAATCAATACAAGACAATAGACTAGATGGAGTTAGACGGTCATTTGTGTTTGTTTATGAATGCTCATGTGGATCACGCGAGATATCATTACATTCTTGCGGATGTGAACTAACGTCACACTTTTTCTGCAATGCGCCAGTGTGGTGGACGTGTGGAGAGGACTGTACTTGTGTTTCAAGGCGAACTGCAAGGGTTTCAGGGTCACGCTAACTCGACCTTGCAGCAATAGAATGGTTTCAGCACGAGATCCGCACGAAGTGTACAGAAATATCAATGCATCCTGGTTGAGTGTAACCGTGCCCTTTTTGTAACTCTCTGGGGAGCTTTACTGTGCAAAATGTGGGCATTTTCTCGACACCCTTCGTTCAAATTCGATGATCGTCATGTGGAGGTGATTGCACAAAGCATTACAGAGATTATTAAGAGCTGTAAGAATGCATAAAGTAGAGAAATTAACTATTAATTACCAGATAAATAAAATTTACGACGTTGGGATTCGGCTTTTACAATAGTGGCGTGATAAGTCATTGTTAAAACACAAGTAAAATGTCAAAAGGGTCAGACATTAAATCATAACGTATGTAGGATCTGAAGTTCTCACAGAGTGGTTATGGTGGAGATCCTAAAAGATTCTGACGATGGTGTGCAACACAAAGAATTACTGGGGTTTCGGCTTTGTCCATCGTCCGGTATTCTAGAAGACTTAAAACACAACTTTTCGGAAACTGTATTTGTTTCCGTCTTCGGGTGGGGGGGGAGACCTGATGTGTTGGGTCCCTTAGAAAGAACCAAGTCCAGTAATTGAGGTTAGCTCCTTCTAAGGGACCCATCTGAGTAGGTGTCTCCCCACTCAGCTGAGAACGGAAACAGATCCAGTTTGCGAAACGTTGTGTTTGCTAGTTTCTAGAATACCGGACGATGGACAAAGTCCGGAAACCCAGTAATTCTGGTTTTGAAGAGTATTATCTTAGGGGATATGTCGGCTTGCCAACTGCTTTCGCTCTGGTATTTTGATAGGTTTATTCTTCTACCCCGAAGATGGAGGTGGTATGTTCCTCCGAAACGTCGGTTGAATTTCAACGGACTACACGGCGTTATATCCCAGAAGATATAACTCTCCATATGATATATGGATATCAGTAACGTGCAGCATTTTGATGCTGAGTAATGTACCATTTTAATCCATAGCGTTGTTGTTCTTTCCCTTTTTCACAGTACAGTCAATTACAACACAAGTTCTTGAAATTATTTTAAATCCTTCATTGTCCCCACGTAGTTTGACATTTACAATGCTACCAGGAGGAGTAGGTAGGTAATCATTGGTAATGCGCACTAAACTAGCCACTAAGCACAGTCAAGGTGCTTCATTTAGGACTACACAGACGTCTTTGATCTCTCATTGCGAATAACACAACCGACGAAAACAATTTTAATAGCCTTCTTACTACGGCCTGGTACAGGGATAGCTTTACTTTACTTTATACTTTTACTTACTAATTATGTCACATCCTTCAGATATCCTGTGAAACATGATTCTCCAAATGGCATTGAAGTCTCTGAGCTGAGCGTTTCAAATACTAACCAGCGCCGCTGATTATCAGCAGTCTGATTACGTGGACGTTGATAACTTTAGGCTTAAGTTACGTAAGCTTGTCCCTGTACTTAACTAATCAAGCGCTACACTATGAAGGTGTATGGGAGAGCGGATGTATAGATCCACGTCTATTGACCTCGGCACTAGTTGGAGGGGATTGGTCCGCTTGACGCCCCGGCCGCTTTAGTCCCAGAGAAGGAGCCTCTGGTACTCATTGCATAGGAGGCTGGGTGGGCCCCAGAACTGGTCTGGACGACAAGAAGAAGAGAAAATTCTTACCCCTACCGGAACTCGAACTCTGAACCCTCGGTCTTCCAGCCCGTAGCCAGTCGCTGTACCGACTGTGCTATCGTAGCCTCCCTATAAGTTACGTACCTAACATTAAATCGGATCTTAGAGAAACTGAATATTCTGTTGTGGATTGGATTCATCTGACTCAGGATAGGGACCAGTGGTGGCCTCTTGTGAAGACGGTGTTGAACAGTCAGGTTCTATAAAATACTGGGAATTTCTTACGTGATCGAGCAACTGCTGGCTTCTCGAAGAAGACTCAGCTCCACGGACTCTGTGTCCGGTTGTTTACGGTGTTTCCAGGATGTACACAATCGGTCATCCTTTCGTCTCATCCGCACGAAATAACCTCAGCAGTTCACAACAGTTCCCACCCTTGGTGACCCAAACTTACATAGGAGGCAGCGGTGTGAGGGTCCGATCCAGCGTTCCAGAGCAGCAGCGTCACCCGGTCAGCCTTCGCCCGCACCCTGGAGGCGACCTCTCGTACCCTCTGACCCAGTACATCTTCGCCGTTCACCTCCAGCACACAGTCTCCAGCCTGGAGTCCTGCAGCCTCTGCAGCTGATCCTGATTCCACCTTACTGACCCACGGGTACGGGTCCCATGCCGTTCGGGTCAGATGAAACCCACAATAACCCGCAGATGGTCGTGACACATAGCAGAGACGTAGCGACGGTTGGATCTCGTTTGCTTCTTTCTGCATGATACGCGTAACGGTCCGGTTTCTGCTTCAAGCACTAAACACGAATCGCTTATGAGACATCCAGTCTTCCAGTGTCACGCGGCGCAAGTATGCGATAACAAATCTTCAGCCTCCTAGGAAGTGTTGCTTTCGTGAGATTGCTGGAGCAGGCAACGAAGCATCGATACAGCTACCTTGGCGACAGGTAACGGAACTTGCGCACCTGCTTGTACTGACGCTAGATGTCGGCCGAGCAGCGAAAGCCGCCTCCTTCCGTGCGCGTCGGAGGAGCACTGACTCTCGGCGTGGCTGCTGGAACAGGAAATGAGCTTCGTGGCAACACTGCGAAGGACAGCAAGTTCATTGTTTGCAGAGCTTTACCGAGAATAACCTTAACGCCAAAGCGGAATGGTACAGTTCGTGTCTTCCTCCTTCCCCCTCTATTTTTTAGTTAAACTTTCTGATTATAGTACCTGAACAGCCTTGGCGACTGTATCAGCACAGGGAAATGAACATGGATATGCAGGAGAATATTCAGAAATATAATAAATTAACTGGATTTAATAGAGCACACGTTCAGAGAAACATGAGACCAGAAATATAATGAAGGATGTGCAATGTGCTTACGTGTGGCAGCGAAATATTGGCACTAAGAAACCAAGACAAATAGAAGCATCTCAGACGAGGTTTCGGAGGGTGGAGGGGGGAAAGGAAGAAATAAAGCTGTCCCTTTAACAGACCCTGTGGAGGCCCAGAGGGTTGTGAGACGTCGAGACTCCCACATTTTTAAGCAATCGGTTCACAGATGGAGGTGAGCTTGTCAGCCTTACGTGCCGGACGCCCTTTACCTCCAGGAATATTCCTGCTACTCATTTCTGTTACAGGGTGGGTCGACCCCAGGGGCCATAGTGCCGCTGGAAGGATTAGGTCAATTGAAAAAATTCAATTACCTAATCAGGAATCGAACCCACGACCTTTTGGCTTGTAGCATAGTGTCTCAGGCAACTACGCTACCGTACCCAGTATCTAATACAAGTAATATTACTATGTAGTCTCAGATTAATAAAAAGCCAAGTAGTTTAGTGCCTGTGAATTGTGGTAGATCCCTGAAAATGCGTGGAAGGAAACAAGTTAAGAGCTGAAGAAAGCAGTCTTCTGGGATTTGGCACCGTGTATATGTGGTGTTAACCGACGTTCCTCCGAAAGACTGCCTTCTTCATAGTCACCGCCGTGACAGCCTTAAATCTTACAAGTTAAGAGCTGTTCAGATTGCTAAGAATTCTACCATGTTGGGCTTACTTCTGCGTAATTATCTCGGAACCCGTAACTCGTACGGAGAAAGTGTATAAGGCATAAAAAGTGAGTTTATTTTTTCTCTATAGTACAACTTTTGTTCGCAACACTTTTCGCTTCACAAATATTTAGCGACTTAATGACTGAAATGCGCGCAGAATAGCACGTATCTGTTCATGCAAAGTGCCCGTTATTGCTCTCCGGCTTTAACCAAAATTAAAAGCGTCGGCGCTTCGTAGTAAAACGCTCCAATATGAAAAGATGTCATTGAGTGCTTCTCCAGTTGTTATATGACAGCAGACAGACACGAGAGGCGCGGCAAAGCTAGCATGTGAATGGTTGCAGCTTTCAGTTGCGAGCGCGCGAGAATTGTATTGTGAAGATGGATATTTTGTTTTCGTTACGAAATTTCTGATAATGTTTTCAATTGACCAATGTAACCAAGTGGCGACGACCAATCCCTCCCCCCCCCCATTCAGTTGAACGCTATTCCTGTCACAAAATGTGCAGTGTGTGCCATTAATTGCAATAGATACAGACGACTGACACACATTAACATAAAGTTGTTCACATTGCAGATGTTAAGACTTTGTGCTTAACAACAATGTCAATTAGCGAACGTGCCTTGAGATCCTTTCTTCGTTTAACATTGGCCTAGATTACTAGCACGCACTTTGTACCGTAATTTGGAGAGCGTACTTGATAGAAACCCACTCGCCTTACGGCAGACAGTGTTCGGCCGACGTGTCCTTCACCTCAGCCTCCATTTTAATCGGAATGCCAAGTTCTAGTTCTGTAGCAAATTTTTTTCTGAGGATGTTCGCTGTAAGACCAATAGCAGCTCTAGTCTCGCATATCTGCGTCCAAGAAGTTGAAGCGAGTGATAACGCCCTAGACCGGAAGCTAAGACATTTCCCTTGATCACCATGACTGCTTAGATTCAAGATAAGTTCATAACTATCCGCTTGCTGTTTGGATCCAAGCATCCAAAGCCATACTAGTGTATCACCTGGACCAAATTTGTCACTTGCCGAAGGCTGATGGGCCACTTTCAAGAAAAACGTATTTCCGTCATTGGTTATAGCTAGCACTGCCGTTTCTTCAGACGCTAGAGGGAGGCTGAGAGTCAGTCGAGTTTTAAAATAATGCACCAGTGGGCCTTCGTGAGACTCTTGGATGTGCTGCAGCATCTCTAGACCCTTAATGAGGGCGGGACAGTCTTCCTCGCAGGGACAACAGTACAGCTGCTCGTTGTCGGTGAAGTCAGCATCAAGAGATTCGCAGGAGCCGTGGTAAGAGGCGGGGCGTTTGGAGCGCAGATACTGAGGCACATCGACACGGTGGGTAGAGTTGACAGACGGCGATCGAGACACCGGACAGGATCCCATAGACTGGCATATCTCACTAGTTGAAAGAGACTTGCTTCTGAGATTGGACGAGAATTCAGATAAGTTCCGTGGCACTGCCGAAAGATTCACGGGGTTGGAAGAAAGATTCTCTACTGAAGAAGACTTTCCCAGGACCCTTGTCAGGAACTTGTTAGTAGGAGTGGTCACCAGGCTTATCTTCAGTTCCGGCATTAGTTTCGATGGTTGAAAGGGCTTGTTCCTCTTGGATCCAAAAAGACGTTCCCGCAGCTTCGCAGGTCGCTCTTCTTCAGCCTCGTCCTTGAGCTCGAAGGCTTCTGTGAGAGAGTTGAAGACTTGATCGGCGAGTAGACTGCGGGCTCGGCAGAAGCGTACACGGCAGATCGGACAACGTTCTGTCTTGACCCGACACTTCACGCAGATCAGGTGTCCGTTGCCGCATTGGTGCGCTGGGGGTGGGATCGTGTCCAGACAAATGGGGCACTCGAGGACGGCCAGAATGGAGCTCATACAAGCAGACAGGCGCTGCAGGTTGGACGGCATGGGCCCGCAGCAAAGTGACTGAAACAGAAGAATATGTCGATTTGTTAAAATCAAAGACACAGATTACTCCCTCTCGGAATATTCGGTCTTCCTTCCCACAAAGTTCTCGACTGCCCCGTCCTTTGTTAGATGTGCTAAGAGAAAATGGTCGCTGTCTGCAGTGCCAAAGCAACATGTCCATCGCTTGACAACAGTTTAATTCATAAACTGATCTCTGTGTGATGCCGCGGCATAAAATTGCAGATCGCTGGTCGAAAGGGATAACTTAATTTAGTAAAATAAGCGATCTGGTTCTTATGTGAAGTTTCTTTTAAGAAAGGCAGTCACGGCAATAAACAATAATTGCTTGTCTTTATAATAGACATCCTGAAGCGTCACAATTTTTAATACATGAATGAGTAGTCACGTATATGTGTGTGACTATAGACGGGGGTTTGTTTGGTGAGTGGATTTATTGTCCACTTATACAAACAACTGGGAACTACTAGCAATTACAGCGTCACCGCTAATCTCCACACTTCACAGATCAACACAGCATTCGGTAAGCCCTTTCCAGCCTCATGTGTCTTCCCCAGCCGTTCCCTGGTAACGGTTTCTAACAGTGGAGTTTTTTCAGCTTCACGCGCTCAGGTCTTGTCTGCACCGATTCCCGTACAGAACTCTCTCTGAGCTCACTGCTCCCTTGGTCGCCCCAGTTGTCTTCAAGATAACTCATCGGCACTGACCACGTAGAGACACCCCGTTTCCAATAGTAACTCTACTGTTGCGTGCGTATTCGTTGCAGCAAGAATGTGTTTACTTAGCCGTAGTCCAGAAACTGTCGATGTTTACAGAGTCATCTCTTAGCAACGGTTCTATTCGACACAGCATTCATAGGACTGTTATTAGATGCAATCAGAATATATAAGTGCTTTCACACTTTTCATTAAACAAACACACAATGGAGATGTAATCTATAGACATGTTTCAACGCTGAAATTAGTGAACAAATTCAGATTACATTCGGTAGTTATCTATGTCAGTTTAATTCTTGTTCGTGTTGGCCCAGTATTCCGTGCTGTACAGTGTCTAGCGTTGTGAGGTACTTCGCATCGGAGCAGTTAGCACCTTCCAGAAGATGCACAGTGCCAAAACAAATACAAAATACACAACTTGCACCTTTATATTTTGGCTTAAGAGAATTTACATGTCGCACATTTTATCCAGTTTTCCTGCAGTAGCTCGTTTCCGCGTCTGCTGCCGATACCGCGTTACCTTTGCTCTGACACTAATGAAGCTGATTGACTGCACTACGTGCAGTGTACCTGTGACGGTGGGTGACGTCGCAGGTTAGGAGAAATTTGAAGGAAGAAGACGAAGTCAGTAGTTCACTGTCGTGTTGTGCTTGCTGTGTCAAAACAATGGCCTCTGTGCCATTAATTAACAATTCAGGATGCGAGACCGTATGAAATTTCAAATTGACAAATTATTATTGTTTTGAAAATTTCTACATTCAGGGCAGATCACATAAGAGAAAATTATAGTTGTGATGATATTTTTTTAAGCTGATTAAATCTTATAAATCAATATAGTGTTATATTCGTCCATTCCTCCGTCATGACTGTTAATTCAATCTTCTAGAACAAATGACTGAAATTCACCACACCATGTACACCGCATCTATTGGCTAAATGTCGAATTAGTGCCAAATTAATGCAGTACGTGCGAAAAAGTCACACAACTAAGCAGGAATATGACCAGGGCAATCACTGCTTGAAACCCAAGGTTTTGGCCCCAATTTAAAAAGAAAGGACAATTTTAATTATGGCAAGATTTGAAGGTTTTCTATACCATGTGACATTCCATTCCGAATGAGGACAGCACAACTCCGCACAATGTTTCGGCCACTCAGAATTTCAGTCGGAAGGGAAACGCATGTGGAATAAAGCAGCAGCTGTGTAAAGAGGCGACAGTACAACAGCCGTTGCCAAAATCTGGTCTTGGGCCCCAGGCGGGAGATTGACACCAAGACAGACTAGCCGACTGACCGTCGGTCGTAACATAACTTTGTCTTTTTGAGTCGTTGGGTCAACCCCATGTGTAGGCGGTTCCGAATACCTGCACCGTAGCCCTGCGAGCTGTTGAAGGCGACAGGAAAGGAATAGAGTACCTGGGAGTATAACTGAGCCACCCTGTTCCTGGGGGGGGGGGATGGGTTGAATACGTGGACGTCGCCCTCCAGGTAGGGGAATTCTCTAATCTGAAACAGTAACATATGGTCATGAGTCCAGGACTCAGATCCAAGAATGACTGCGCTGGCGAGGTCTAGCAGCAATTGTAAGAGACAGACCCGTCCTCTTGTCAGAGGGGGCGCCCGACATCAACAAATCCACAGCTGTCTGACAGCAACAAAAATATGGTCTTGGGGCCCCAGATCGGGACTTGATATCAAGACAGACTCTCCGACTGACCGTCGGTCGTTACATGATTTTGACTTTGAGTTGTTGTTTAGTCAGTTGAGAGTTACAATTGTGAGTAGTGAGAAGCTGGTAGCTGAGGCCGTGGACAGTTCGGGAAACAAGAGGAAAGGGAACGTTCGCTGTTGAAAGCCTCTTCCAAGCAACGGCTAATGAAGACTGAGAATACATGCGTACTGTAGTTCCATTGATCTTTGGAGTGTGCATATCAGTGTCACTGTCATAGTTATCTGTAGTTACGTTCGGTAAGAGTTCAGTGTTCAGATTGCCATTCTAAACCCTGTCTACAGGCATTCAATCGCTTGACAATATTTATGTGGCAAAGAACTTCGTAATTTGTGGTTTCTAGTGCTACGATGTTAAAATCATTGTCATTCAGATGGGATGAATATGTATCAAGCATGAAGTGTGAATCCCCACAAATTTGATGCAGTTGTAGCTTACTTCGGGACTGCAGTGAGGGTCCGACCCAGCGTTCCAGAGCAGTAGCGTCACCCGGTCAGCCCTCGCCCGCACCCTGGAGGCGACCTCACCGATCCTTTGACCCAGTACATCTTCGCCGTTCACCTCCAGCACGCAGTCTCCAGCCTGGAGTCCTGCAGCCTCAGCAGCTGATCCTAATTCCACTCCACTAACCCAAGGGTACGGGTCCCACTTGCTCCGGGTGAGGTGGAAGCCGCAGGAACCCGTTGCGGGCCTCGCAACTTCGCAGAGTCGTACGCTGGGGCAGTAATGCTGATCACACTCCGAGTCTGACGTCGTTTTCACCATTGTCAGCGGCTGAAAGAATAAGGGTTTATGGAGTGACGTCACAGACGTTGTGAAGTGTTTCAGTGGTATCGCATCAGCGCCAGTTTACATAACGAGGCTAGCAGCAACTGTGAGTTCATAATTATGCAGTTTCGCGGTCTATTTATGCTATGTTACATTTACCAATTGTTTTGCACTATATTTGTGTTTCTCGTTGTTAGCGTGTACTAAGATATTCGCCACGCACAGTATGTGGCTGTGTTTATTATTTTAGTCCAAAATGTCACGGGTCTAGCTGCAGAAATGTGGCCGCCATGTTCGACGAGATGTATTTCTTTAAGATCTATACTACACTAAATTAAGAACTGGGATAGCTCAGTCGATATAGCGACGGGCTACGGCTTGACGAAGCTCCAGAGCGATCCTGGGGATCGCCCAGCCTCCTATCCAATGGGTATCTGGGGCTGTTTGCCAGAGGTTGAGTGACCGGGGCTTGAAGATAACCACTCACCCCCACCTAGCGCCAGAGTGAAGAATGATGGAACTGTACCTCCACTCTCCCAGACGTCTTCATGGTCTGATGCTTAATCAATCAAGCACAAGAACAAATTTGCCTTTATTTTACGAAATCAAATTTAATGGCGCTAGTGTCGTCAACACCTCACATTTCGCGCGGAAGTCTCATGTGTATCACGGGTGGCAGGAAAGGTGGAGTTGCCTCTGGCGGCGTGACATTCATACCTCTTCTTAAGTTGATTCGTAGTCAGGCGGACAGGTTAAGGACACTATGTCGTCTTCTTTAAATTGTCAAAATATTTCTCCGCCTGCAGTAAGAGGGGCGTTTTGTGCTTCGATCCATAATTTTTCTCAGAAGCAAAGCATTAACCCTTTAAAGCACAGTCTCCCTGCTTTACCACAAGTTGGACAGCTTGCCCATTGAGTTTCGTACAGTTCTCAGAACAAACCAGGATTATTTTCCAACTCCAGTTTTTCCTAGCCGTCAAGACGTGGCCTGTAGCTGAGTCTCGACGCTTGGTCGGGTGGGACGTCAATTCTATAAAATATTTAGTGACAAAAAATCCTGAATTGTAAGTTCGAGCTTTTTATCACTGCCGCATTACAATGGCATTTATGCCAACAGAAAGGTATTGCCTTGGGCCCATACACTTTTAAATAATGTTTAGTGACAAAAAATCCTGAATTGTAAGTTCGAGCTTTTTATCACTGCCGCATTACAATGGCATTTATGCCAACAGAACTGTATTGCCTTGGGCCCATACACTTTTAAATAATGACACTTAACGCTAATACATTTGAGTGCTTGCGAATTTAAATAAGTGACGTATATAACATAAACATAATAATAAATATATTGGGAAGACTGCTTTCTGTGAACTGGGAATTTCATTTCTAAATGTTATTTATATTAATGCTTCAGAGGAATGGCAAAATGTTTATTGGATCATTACAGAAACTGCCTCCTTGAAGGCTGACCCATTTGTTGTATATGTGCGTGATGCGCCCTACTGGTAGATGTCTCGGTGATACTTCAGCTGTGAATGCGATTTTTTTTACAGGATGGCTTTTTATTGTGGGAAAAATTATTGTAAATACAAAAATGGCCCATGTGATGCCAATCCGGCCTTCTGTAGCACATTCTTATAAACATCTTATTCTATAAAAGCGGTCACCCCGCGATTCTTAATATAGATCTTAACTTAAATCTGAGAGCAGACTGTTAATAAGCTGTGCACTTCTTTTATTTTTCTTACATATCTATTTTATATAAATATAGGAATGTTGTTTATGAAGTAACAGACACTTTGTGGAAATGTGAATGCGATCATCCAGAAAGACTCGTCCCACCATCTTGCAACAGTTACAGCTAACTATTCATGACTTCACAACAATGTAAAATATCATGCGTTACTGTGAGAATGTGAGTTTTTCTAACAGAAAAATCAATTTAACAAGGAAAGTACAGTAGCACTTTAAATTAAACATCGATATCGCTTATGTTGTTACAATGACCTATGAAATGAATAATTCCACTTGCTTCAGCATATTTAATTACTGGACTTAGGAATGAATCAATTTACTTCTTTTGCTTAAATAGTTTAATGTATTTAACGCAAAATATGAAGGGAGTTGCCATTATAAGTATTCGAGTTTATGATTTACTTACGCAAAAATATAAGTTATTTGGTGCTATACCGCTGTATCCTGCCGCTCTGTGTGGAGAAGATGCTAGAAGAAGGACTCAGACCGAAGTCATTCCATGCCAGTCCACGTGTTCACGTGTTGTCGAACAGTTGAACAGAAGTCAGAAGAACGTCGTTTCTGTCTCATCTCACAATAACAGTGAGCGTGTGTCGCTGCAGCATGTTCCTCTTGTTCTCACCTGAGCGACAAATGTGGCACACTCTGTGGATCTTGCCTCAGCCACTCGGCCTCGTGTTCGCCTTCACCTCAATTCCCCAGCAGCAAGCCCTGACGTTGTAGAATTTGAAGTTCTCACACAGAGTTTTACTTCTGCCATATACGGTGCAAGTCAACCAACGTTTGGGAAGAAAGTATTTGCTGCCGTCTTCAGGGTCGAAACCAGAGTGAAGTGGGCAGCAAGTACTAATTGGCTTACTCTTCGATAACGAAGGTGGAGGTGCTACGTTCCTGCGAAATTTCGATCGACGTACACCGGACTACAGAGCCTAATAACCGACAATAGATGGCTTGGCTAATACGTTACTTAACTACCTGTATCACGTTGCATGGTAGGACAACCAGCACTGGACATATGTTAGCCTTTAGCCCTCTGCTTCCCAGCGACACGATTATAATGGTAGACAAAGGTAAAGCCATCCCTGAAACAGGCCGTGGAGGCCTAGAGGGTTGTGAGTCGTCGAGGCTCCCATATTTTCCAGAGAATCGACTCACAGATGGCGGTGAGGTTGTCAGCCTTACGCGCCGACCGGCCACCCTTTACCCCAAGGAAGATTCATGGTTCTCATTTCTGTTAGAGGCTGAGTCGACACCAGGGCCATAGTGCGGCTGGAAGGCTTAGGTCAATTGAAAATATCCAATGACCTCATCGGGAATAAAACCCGCGACCTTTTGTCTTGTAGCATAGTGCCTCAACCAACTACCCTACCGTGTGCCCCCGATTGTAATGGTCACAGTTCGTTACTTCTGATGTTTTGGCAGCCGGAACTTTTGCAGGTACCGATGTAGTGAAGATTTTGTTTATTTTTATACTAGTCTATGCTACCGCTGCAGCATAATAAATTGAGCTACAGTGAAAATTTTCCCTCTGTATAATATTAGATTGATAAATAGTATAGCCTTAATATCTTGTGTATTTCTTGTTTTGTGGGTGATACGCAATCACTCCACCTCCGCCTCCATTTCATACAACGATGCTCCTCTGTTCTGTATATCATTCCACCGGTAACAGGCCCGAATATCATGAGAACTTCGCATACTCTATCTCTATATTTTGCAGGCCTGCAATAATTCAACATCACCGGTATGCACAGATGATTTGCTTCATTGTCTCACGGTCTCCTGATTGTCTAGATTTAGTCCAGACCAAAACGGATAGCACCGTCTCATTTTAAAGTTGGAAAAATATTAGCAACATTTGTTTAAATACATCACTATTAAAGTAACTAGTTTCCTGTGTAATTAGTTAGGCACCACGCCATAAAACAAGGGCATAGCTCGAAGCATTTTAGCCTCAACACCAAATGGAGAGGGTCGTCAGTCTCACACCTCCGTCGCTTTACGCACAGGAAACAAAGCCTCAGATGACCATCTGACTGAAGTCTGGATGTACCTCAGGCCTGAGTTGGACGTGCTGTTGGTCCACGCACCTTCTGAGAGCCGATCGTTGATTGTGCAGCCCTTAGATTTGCATTCATTCTGAAGTCAACTGAAATATTATTTTCCTTCATTGAACCAAGGCCCCGTAATCTATACCTGTTCTTAGGGATGCAGAAAGATTTAGCCCTTGGGAAGTTGTCTTACTAAGAAAGAATATAAAAAGCTAAAAAAAAAAAGAAAATTTCTCCATGTCCGTAATTTATTAAGCACTATGTAATTAAGACATGGAGAAGTTGAGCTGTAGGTCCATCATTCTTGACCTTGGGACTAGATGAAGGTGAGTGGTCAGCTTCAAAACCCCGGCCATGTTATCCGCTGGAAAAAAGAACCGGTACACATTGGATAAGAGGTTGGATGGACCCCAGAGCCGGCCTGAACGCTGTGGAGAAGAGAAAGATTTCTTTCCCTGCCGGGAATCGAACGCTGACCATCCAGCCCATAGTCCATCGCCGTACTGACTGATCTAAGGAAGAACTAATGGCAGATAATCTGAAAATTTGCAACCCAACTCGCGCACTATTTCTGTTAGATATCATCCAAAATTGGAAGTGACTCAAAATCCATCTCCTTACAGACTGGATCACGTGTGAGTTTATGCTTTTAATAGCGAATGGTCTGTTAAGTAACCATTTCAATTTAAATCAGGCGCAAAGAAAATGTAGGTCCCTTGGCGGAACTCCTCGCGGAATTCTGTACTTTTTCTTCCGCGGAACAATTTACAATTTGCCAGTTTAGGCAATACTGAACCAATCGTAGGGCAGGATGTCAAGTTGAGCGATTGATCCATTGTGTAGTAGCAGTGGTTGATCTGGCCTGAGGTTGGTACAACTGCCAGAGCTCTTGACACACATTGCGAGTAAGAGTTGGGTGTACGTTCATCATTTGTCGGACAAATGACCTCAGAAATTTTGGTCACGTTTCGGATAATTACTGTGCACCGATTAAAATACAACTTCGCAACGAATCAGTGTTAAGTGCTAGAGCTATCAGACTCGACATAAAAATCGTTTCCTCTTTCCCGTCTCTGTTGTGGTCTCGGTCCCTCGAGGTTCTCTTATTCCTATAATTAAAGTGACATTATGTACTGGGCGCCGTGCTGCGATTCCCGGATACTTGTCGCCCACACTCAACCAGCTCTTTGTCGGATCCTGAAACAAATTTACTTGAAGGCAAAGTTAGTAGACCAAATTTCTTGAAAATGGCGTCTGGTTGAAGTTGAAATAGACACATGTGCACACACAGACATCATTGCCATCTCATAAATCTGCTTCATTTCCTTAAGAAATTAAAGAAGTTTACGGAGCTAACAAACATCGGCGGTGAAGATTTGTTCGTGCACTAAGACCAGCATACTCACATCCTCCTGCATTGTTTGAAGAACAGTTCAATGACTCGTGGATTGTGCTCATCTGAGTTAATTCTTCGGGTTTAGCGTTACTTCTTTCAGTTCGAAGCATGGCTGTGGTCTTTGGCATAAAACGGAAGGTGAAGGAAGCTGCTGTAACCGTCCATTCTGACTGGAGGAGTGTTGTGTGAAAATTAAATTTTGTATTAAGTTAAGATTAACAATATTACAAACAAAGAGATCCGGCAGATAGCCAGCTCTTACACGCGGAAGGGACATAGTTCAAGTTTTGCTATGTGAACAGGAAGTAACATCTGGTACTTTCCTAGAATTCTGGCAGTTTCAGCAACGTCGGAAAGGCTTTGAGAAAATGAGAGCTGACAGCTTGGGACAGCGATAACTTAGAAGTGGGACGGCCGGAGCCTCACACCCTGACTGTAATGCATCAAGGGGCTGTCATCCTTAGCGTCAGGTCAGCATCTGCCAGAATCACATAGCAGAACCACATGATTGGGAATTCAAAATTTAGGGAACCTCCTAGTTTGAAAAATTAACCAATGGTAGAAGTGGAGGAGTGGATTTCTCTTGGAGTCTGGGGTTCGTGGACCTCAGAATTCAGAGAGAGGGCATTCCACCTCGGGGAGTCTTGACACTACTTTCGGCAAAGTCGGACACTAAATTTACCACTACGGCCCTTCCGTAAAATAGTATAAGTACAGTTCAAATCAATAGTATTAATAAATTCAGTTGTATGCAGAAAGCTGGAAGGGATTAAAGGACTACTAAGTGCAACCGCCGAAAGGTGGGTGATTGTAATGAAGTGTTCTTCCTGCCCTGTCCGAGCCAGACCCTTATAAGACCCTGGGATAGGAACCCAGCTCTACTGATTAAAGTAAAGAACCCAAAGAAGTGAGCGGTGGTGGAGTGGCGCACAACGAAAAGGGCACAAAGGAAGTGAGCGGTTACACTGCATTCGTGATTGTGAAACAATATGAAATGCTAATTATCCTTTTCTAGTAAAAGTTTTGTTAGGCTCAATCCCGAAATGATACAATTTTCTATTGCAATACAGCCATGCATCAAAACTTGACGTAATGGGCTGTAACAATACCACAAATTAAAAAGTACAACAGTTAAATACCATTGGCAGAAAATTAAAAGAAAAATGTAATGAAGAGTTGTCAATGTACAGTGTAAAAGCAGTTCATGAAGTGGTTTGGAGAATGTTACATTAATGGCCAGTATCCCTATGTCTGAATTAAAATACATAATACAAAACTCCATTCCGCTCCACTGTAAATTTTTTGTTTTCCTAGTCCTGACCCACTTACTCTAGGAATGTAAATGTGTTTGTGAGATGTCGTTATATGAAGGGACAAGCACTTGTTGAACTGTTCTATAATATTTATTATAGTTGCACAGTATACACAGACGAACTTGAGTTTGAAGAATGGAAGAAGAATAATACTCGTAACATTAGTGAACTCTGTAACACCTTGGACGTTGTATTGAAACGCAACATTGAACTAGAATTGTAGAACTGTAGAACTGTAGAACTCTAGAACTGTTTGCAACACTCACACTACTCTTCATTCTCTCTCTTAATAGTCAAAGTCATATTGCGACTGACAGTCAGTCAGTCAGTCAGTCAGTCAGTCAGTCAGTCAGTCAGTAAGTCTTGGCGTCGAGCCCCATCTAGAGCTCATGATAAGATATTTATTGCTGTTTGACAGTTACGGTCTTGTTTCTGTGAGGCACCATCTCTGACGACAGGACGGGTCTGTCTTTTATATATGCTGCTGGTCCTTGCCAGCGCAGTCTTTCTCATGTCCGAGTCCCTTGGTACTCGCCACCATATTTTACTGTCTCAGATTTGAGATTTCCTCTTTTCGTCGCCTCCTACGACTCGCAGGGTCACGGTGGGGGTATTCGACCCCGCCTCCACACGGGTCTCTCTCTCTCTTAATAAGTCAAAGTCAAAGTCATGTTGCGACTGACGGTCAGTCAGTCTGTCTGTCTTGGTGTCGAGCCTCAGCTGGGGCTCATGGGGCTTTTTGTGTTTTCCTTATATGAAAGTTACTGTCCTGTCCATTTGGAGCGCCCTCTCTCACGAGAGGTC